CTCGGCGTCGCTGATCTCATTACGCTTTGATGCTGTGCGCTTCATTTCTCCTGGCTGTGGACTACAGTTGTCGATCCGGACGGTGGGAATAGTGCTGGGTTGCAACTTTACTGGCCTGTCCTCTTCTGCTTTGACCTCTTCTTCTAGGTTTCTCAGTAAATCCTCTGTTGACTTGCGGTTGCGCTTTGCTTTTATATATGCGCTAAGCGCGTTGCGCAGGTCGGCGACTATGTATCCCTCTATAAAAATTCGATGTCGCTTGCACTCTTCTATCAACTTCTCCTTCTTTAGCAGGTATATCCAGCTGAGGGAGTCGACGTTCAGCGTATTGGTTTTGCTCTCGCTGGCGCGTGTGTCATCTGTTGGTTGTGGTGTGTTCGGCGAGCCCGCTTCCGCAGTGTTGGTGCTTGTAAAATTTTTTGCACATGCGCCTGCAGAGCTGGGTCCCTGCTCGGGCGCCATTTATGAGGTGGGTTTTGTCAAAGGCTGAGGTGAACTCAGCCGATCCAGAGGCCGGCGAAGGTCCCACTAACCCCCACCAAATAAAACACACTATTTTCGTGTATTTACTTCGAACACACACACACACACACGGCGCTACGACTAGAGTGCTAGCAACCTTATGTCCAAAGAGAGGGAGAGCGAGAGAGAGGTGACGTTCGTTTTGGTCGTGCGGTCGGGTCGGAGCGGATGATGGCGGGAGCGCTAGCAGCACGGCGGGTGATTCTCAACAACTGTTGAGCAACGGTTGGGCAGCGGCGGCGGCACCGCGGGTGACTCTCGGCAACAGCGGAGCAACGGTTGAGCAACGGTGGGAGCGCTAGCAGCACGGCGAGTGATTCTCAACAACTGTTGAGCAACGGTTGGGCAGCGGCGGCGGCACGGCGGGAGACTCTCAACAACTGTTGAGCAACGGGGGTGTCCCGACGGATGATATGCGGCAGCGGGTGACTTCTAACAGAAACTGGCCCTCGGCAACCGGTGGAGCGAAACGACCTAGCAAGACTCACTCCAGGCACCGCCATTCCCCTAATCGCACTCTACAAAAGTAGGGGCTGGAACGGGTCGGCGATGTCGGAGGCTCAACCAGCCGGTGACCAGTTAGGATGCCTAAAAGGCGTGCAATCCGGGTCTGCCGGCGGGTTGAGTCGTACTTGGCTTGGCCAGTCGGTGACACATTGGCGCGCCCGCAGGCACACCAGCTGATCGACCGATTGGTTACGCCGAGCTTGGCTTGGCTGGCCGGCAAGACATTAGCGCGCAAGCACGCCACCCGCTCATCGACCAGTCAAGTCAGCTACTCACCTAGCAAGACTGACCTGACTGCGCACTTGTTAAGCCTTTTATACCTGTTGCGCTGCATGCTTGTTGAGCATTCGTCGTGTGCCGTCCCGATGTATGCCGTGTGGTGAGCGAAGTGGTTGGTGAGTTATTCGGGCATGCTGCTGGTGTGCTGCTAGCAGTGCTCACTTGGTGTAGTGTGTATGTACAATGGTGTGTGTATGTATGTCTGTATTTACATGTACGGTGGAGTATGTATGTACAATGTTGTATGCATGTGCGGTGCAGTATGTATGTACAATATTGTATGTATGTACGATGCTGTATGTTATTGTATCGTAGCGGATATGCTACGTTACAATATTTGTATAAAAGCGCGGGGTGAAACCCGCGGGTATAAGCTAGTTTAAAATAACTTACGAAAGTGTTCTTGCTTTTCTTATACTGCTTGCACTCCGCTGCTTGGTGGCCTTGCTGTCCGCAAGCGAAACAGGAACCTGCTTCCCCTTTCGGCTTTCTGCAGTCCTTTGCATAATGACCAGAGCAGTTGCAATTGTAGCAACGCATCCTGTTGTCTGGTCGAGGCTTTTGTGCCGGACGCTCTGGGAGGTTAATACACCGGAACGCCCTCACTACGTCGTTCGCGGAAGTAAAATTTTGTAATCTAGCCTGATTACGCAGTTGCCTATCGGGTATGCCTTCTATGAGGTAGTCCGCGAGTTCCTCGTCGCTCAGGTTGAGTCCACCGCCTAGAAGACATTTTTCATTGAAATAGTTGGCGAAACTCTCCTCGGGTGTCCACGTCCGAACTTTCGGCGGCAATCAAGTTTGCTTTCACCTGTCGCAAACACGGTTTTCATTTCGCGTAATAGCTCGTGGACATCTTTAGGAAACACCGGCTTTGCATTATACCATGCCAAAGCTGCACCTCTTAGTTTGGTGTGGACAGCGACACCCAACATCGCGTCGTTCACTTGTAGTACTTCGCGGTAATGTAGCAACTGATTGTGCCAAGCGTTGAAACCGTCGCCGCCGTCATATGTCGGTATGATGTCTTTCAGCGTTTCGAACGGGACACCCTCATTTATTCCTCTGCTTACGTTGGTGTTCGCCGCCATTTCGTTTTCTTTCTCTAGCAGAGTCTTTCGCAGATTTAGCAGCTCAATTTCTTTTTGTAGCAATTGAATTTTTAGGTTACTTGCTTCAACGCTATCGGGTATGGGCTGAGCTGTCGCACCGTTGCACAGTGGGCGATTTGATATCCCTAGCGGCGTTAAACTAATAAGTCAGTTGTTTCTTGTCCGATCAAAATAAAACTTGGCAGGATAGAAGTTTTCATAAAAGGGAAGGTGGCTGCCAAAATTGAATGGAATCGGCTTAACCCTCTAGTGACCACGCTCACTTTTACACAGGCGTTATCGTATGAAAATTTTTAATTTGATATCTTTGTCAAAACTAAAGGTGCTTTGCTGAAATTTGTTTCCGCTTATAGAACTGAAAACCTTAATGCAAAAGTGTATACATTTTTGGAAATAAAAGTGACACCGCCTGTTTTATAAATATATCTGCAAGAAAATCCATAATATATTTAGATATTTTTATAAAACAAAATTTTAAAAATTAATATTCACAGAACAAAATATCATTATTCTGAATCTGAGCTATCAGAGTCAGACAAATCTGTTTCAGGATTCTCTATTAATAGCAAGTTCATAACATCCTCGTCGAACATACTATTTTTTGCAGAGGAAACTGAAGAGCTATTGGACAGTGAAGTTATTAAAGGATCGGAAGAAACTAAAAGTGCATTAATGGTATCCTCCATTGTGTTTTTCCTGGAGTTTTTTCTTGTGCTGTGCTCACGTATATATCCGTAGTTTTTGTTTCTGGCTTCAAGGGCTACCTACGACATCATACCAAGTGGAAGAGAAAAATGGGATATAATGTCTTTTCCATGAATCAAAATTCTATGAACAGAGGAAGGCATGTAAAACCAGGGGTACAAACGAACAAAATGTTCGGCAGTGTCCAAAGCGTATGACCCAAATGCTTCCGGGTTAATGTCACTCCCGCAGACCAATGCACGTAGGATTACACTGAATTGGCGAATCAAAAGTTCGTCCACTCCTGTTGTACGAGCAGCCAAATGTGGTTGTTGGAAAAATCTTCTTGCGGTGTTTCCGTTGTTGGTATTACCAGAACTAGGCAATGGTATGTCCACCAATAGGTCCATTTCTTTTCGTATGTTTTCCTGTATGCGTTTTTTATTTTCTTCAACAACATTTTTGTCAGTACCGCGAACTTGCCACTTTTTTATTGGAAGCCTATAAGAAATGTGCAAGACACACTCGAAAAACCTAATCCAGGCATGAAGACTTGATAATCCATATTCAAGGAGACTACAATCAATTGGAAAACTTTGAACCAAATTCAAGTCATTAATATTTTTTGGTGTGGCTCTGCATATTCCGCATGTTTGGGAAGAAGACTCCGAGATAACGCTAAGCATAGCCATGTGAAACTGGTGATGAATACTTAAAGAGTTTATTTGTGTTGGTACAATATTTAAAATCTGGCTTTTAATATTTTCAATTTCTCTACGAGTCAAGTCAGCCGTTTCTTTTTCGCAGAGAATTTTTATTGGTCTACAATATCTAGTTGAGGAAGGTCGGTTGTTTATCCATAGAATTTTCAATCCCTGCTTTATTTGCAATAGTACAATACAAACTGAAAATAAATACTGATCGATCATATTTCCTTCACAATCGCTGAATTTTTGCCTATACGTTGAGTGTCCGCTGCTGCCATCACAGCCCCATTTGTAAACGGCAGTTATATTAGTATTGTTATTTCCAGTCTGCTTTTCAAAAATTTGTGGGTACGCTTGAATGATCCTACCAACAGTATGGTCCACTAAACTTTGCAATGACACTTCAGCGGAATAATCAGTGACTGTTATTTCATTCGGATAGCAATTTTTTTCGCAGAGCGTAGTTTATCGTAGCCTGGGTATATATCGGCGTTTTGACTTTTCGCTGATTTCTTTGACAAATTCCACGTATATTTAGTATGACCTACATCTATAAATAACGCGAATGCTTTTTCAGGCGAATATTTTATTGGAAGGAGCGGGGGTTTTTTAACGATTTCATAACTTTTCCGCAAAATTTACTTTCAGAATTAAGCATGGATACAACCTCTGAAGCACTGCGTTGTCCAGCTTTGTACAAACTATTGCTTACAGCTACCAGCAACGCTTCGGATGATACTTCCTGTACAAGGTCAGACACTTTGTCAACTTGTGTCTTACTAGAAAATTCTGCAAAATCTTTTTTTGGACGACCAACATCTCCTTTAATTAACGATAGTGGCGTATCTAACCATTCCTGGTGTCGTTTCTCAAAATACATTTTATTTTTAGCACAACTCTTCCACCTCTCAACAAGCCTGCTATTAAAATTTCGAAGATTCCTACCAACTTCGCAACGATGCTGAATACTTAGGTTATTATTTTTAAGAACTGTGCCGAAAGCGTAGTTTTCGATAGCAAGAAACTTCTTCCTGGGTATTTTTTCGTCCAGCCATACTAAGTAAAAATTGCGTTTTGGTACTGAGGTCATTGTGTCTAAAAAATGATAAATTGATGGGTAGTGGGTAGTAGCGGTTCAGCTAAGACATTTTGAACACACAATAAAACACGCTTTCACAAAATTTTAAACTTAACTTGAATACGCTTGAATTTTATTAATTTCTAATCCACGAAATACAGGTGTAGGCTACCAATATCATGTTGTTAATACAATTAAATTCAACTGAGTCTTATAAGTAACACATACATAAACAGATCAACCAAACATATTCTACATATAGTACTTACCTTGATGTAAGCTATAAAGTAAGTTTTAAGTTAATAGGAAAAAATGTTATTATTTACAGCAATGAAAATAACATGAAAATAACATTCAATAAGGCAAAAAAAAATCGTAAAGCACTTGCTAAAAAATATGTTGTGTTTGATAGGTAACAGCTGTTCGTATTTGCTTGGAATTGGTAATTAACTATCGATTAACTAATTGAAGTATGCGTTATCGATAGGAAATGCAAAATTTCTGCATTATTAAAATTGAAAATTGAATAAAACGCCGCTAGCGCATCCAAATCGCCCACTGTGCGTTGTTGCTTGCTCTGCTGTCGCTCGAACTGTACTCCGATAAGCGGTGCCCAAATGTACCGCTACGTGTGCATGCCAACGCTACATCATCGTCGTCTGTACCATAGCTATTCTCGTTGTTTTCCTCGCTGTTGTTTTGACCGATACTCGGACCGTTGTCTTGATTTTTACTCGGACCATTGTTCTGACCGTTGTTCGGACCGTCGTTTTCCACGTTGTTCACACCGTTGTTCTGACCGTTGTTCCCACCGTTGTTTTCCTCATTGTTCTCACCGTTGTTCTCCACGTTGTGCTCATCATTGTTTCTGGCCACACTTTTCCCGCGCTGTTGCTGAGCTACGTTTCCCGTATCTTCGTCGTCGCCACCGTCTAAAACGCTTTTTTCGCCTGCCTTGTCTACTGGACATGATCCTCGCGCCTCCACTGAAAGCTCGCTCAACCTGGCGGCTAATGCCGCTTTTGCTCCGCTGGCATTGACGCCTACCGCAGCGCACCAGGCCTTCAGCTGCAATAGCGAGTACTTCTCCGCATTTACCGCGTCGCGATGCATTATAAAACTCGACTTTTACTCAAAATTTACTTCGGAAATTTAAAACTTTTACTCAAAATGGGTTCAAAGACCACTTCTGATACAATGCTATCAGTTTTGTGGTTTATTAAAAAACGCTACCGCTCGCTTGTACGTACAAAATCGAATGAATCTCTGTTCCAACGGTTAACATAACAACGAGTAATAAGTCTTAAGGTCTAGTTACAGCATCAACTTAACAACTAATTCTTAAGGTCTAGTTACAGTGTGTAAGTATAAGCACATGCCTACTCTACTACTATTTCCTACAGATGTTTGGCAAATCATCACGCGGAAATGACTGCACGGATTTGCATGAAATTTTGTACACAGATAGCATATGGGCTAGATTGGTTAATAGGCTGTTTTTTAAAGAGTTGCCACCTGGTAAAAAAGCTTAATTTATTTAATATGCGGGAACGACTGAATGGATTTGCATAAAAATTTGCACAGATAGCTTATGACCTGCATGACGGATTTGCATGAAATTTTGTACGCAGATAGCTTATGGGCTAGATTGGTTAATAGGCTGTTTTTTTAAGAGTTGCCACCTGCTTAAAACGCTTAATTTATTTAATATGCGGAACGACTGAATGGATTTGCATGAAAATTTGCACACAGATAGCTTATGACCTAGATTGAAAAATAGGCTACTCTTCTTAAGAGCTGCCACCTGTTAAAAAATTTCTTTAAATTAATACGCGGAAACGACTGAATGGATTTGCTTGAAATTTTGAGAGCAGATAGCTTATGACCTACTGTGGAAAATAGGCAAATTTTTTGGAAGAGTTGCCACCTGTCAACAAAGTTTAATTAAATTAATTCGCGGAAACGACTAAACAGATTTGCATGAAAGTTTGCACACAGATAGCTTATGACCTAGACTGGAAAATAGGCTACTTTTTTATGAATTGCCAGCTGTTTGAAAATGAAATTTTGCTCAAAGATGGTTTATGACCTGGATTGAAAAATAGGCTACTTCCTTAACCGGTTTTCCGATCAGAACGAAATTTAGTACACTTACTACGGATTTCGGAAGGATGGTCTTAGACTGAAAGTAAGTCCGAAAACTCAAGGCCCCTCCCATAAAAATTGCAATTTTCATATTACGTACATATCTCTGGAAGTATTTGTGGGAGGGAACTGAAACTTGGTATAGTGATATGTATGTGAAATTAATGTTGGCATTAATCGATTGATATTTTAATCAGTTAGTTAATTCGATTAAATTCAATCTGATTACAGTTAATCATGATTAATTTTAATCCGACTAAACAGTTAATCGTAACCGCGATTAAAGAATTAATTTTTAATCATTAACTCTTAATTTGATCAAAAAGGTTTGGTGATTAATTAAGTTATGCTGGAATTTCCCTGTGCACACAAAGCAAGTTAATCCGGTGTGGCTGAATCAGATTTTCTCATCAATTAATTTGGTGTGCATTTTCATTAAGATATATACCAACAAAGGTTTTACGAACTAGGTTTGTAAAAGTTCCCAATTTATGTATTACTAATAACAATAATTATAATTTTTTTATATTATGTGCTTTTTATTAACGTAAAACACAAAATAATTACTATAACTGGTGTTTGGTTTCAAACTCGGACAAACTAGACAAATTAGTTAGATTTTATTTTTAACTGGATTAACGATTAATGTTTTAAATTAATTAAACGTAATCGCAGCCAGCGATGAACGATTAAAAAAATGTTATCATTAATCGTACAGTTGATTACCACTAATTGATTTTAATCGTCAAACGCGATTAACATTTTAATCGTTAATCAGATTAACAGTTTGCCAACACTGTGTGAAATCATGTTCATATTCACGAAAATTGGACGTGTTTGGAAGAGAGGCGTAGTACCTCCCATACTGACTGAAAGTTTCATATTGCATTTCTCTTCAAATGTTTGGGGTAAAGCACTCAAGCTTGGTATGGAAATACATATGTATGTATGTATGTGAAACTAAAACCATACTCATGGAGAAAAATGAGAGCTATTGGAAAAGGTGGTGTGGACTCCCATGCAAATTAATTTTTTTATGCTGCATATCTCTGGAGGTGTTTATTGCAGAGGACTGGAACTAGGCACCGAGATGTGTATACAAAATTAATTCCATACTCATGGAGAAGAATTTGCGTTATTCGAAAAGGGGACATGGTTCCTGCCTTACAAATTTACTGTTTTATACTGCTTATCTCTAGAGGTGTTCATGGTAGAGTACTGGGACTTGGTACTGGGGTATGTAAAATCAATTCTAAATTCATGAAAGAAGATTAGGGTTATAAGAAACAAGGGCGTGGCACTTCGAGTACAAATTTACTTTTTATTGCCACATATCCCTGGAAGTGTTTGTGGAAGAATACTGGAACTTGGTATGGAGTTCACTCGCTTAAAAAATAACGAGCTATAACGAAATGGGCACAGAAATACAATATAACATCATTAAATTATTTTTCATATTTGTATAAAAGCGCGGGCAGGAACCCGCGGGTATAAGCTAGTATATATATATTTTGTCAATATATTTTGCTAATATGAATTCCATCACGATTAATTTTTATTTCGACTTGTGAGCAAAACTTTTCACCGATTATCAAATCAATGTCCATACATTTAGTCGGAACAATATGGAGATTTACGTTGTAAACATCACCGTCAATTTCGACCGGTTGCAATGGAGTGGAGTGCAATTGGGTATAGTCATTGCGCTGGGTATGCAGTTACAGTTACATTGCTATACTCAATCCCGACTCTTGCGTCCTCGTTCGCGCATTCTGGGCAACGTGAGCAACCCATGTGCGAGATGCGGTAACCAATCCGATTGGAGCCTTGGGTCACGGCAGAAAGATAGGGAGCTTCGGTGGGGCCACTCCGACTTATTCGGTTAAAGTGCTCACTGAAGTCTGCAGCGTTTTTCACCAGTAGGTGCGGCTGCAAGCGGGTGTCTGCTTGGATCAAGCGGCTCGCTATATAAACGTGTATTTGGTTGCGAAACCACCCCCGTCCCAGCAATGGGTTGTGCGCTGGGTTTGTGACCCGCCACGTAAAAACCACTTCCAGTGAAGAAGCACTATGGATATAGTGCAGCGAATTAAAATACAGCGGCTCCGCTGGCTTGGTCATGTCGTTCGAATGGACACCGAGCTCCAGCTCTGAAAGTATTCAACTCGGAACCCGCTGGTGGTAGCAGAGGAAGAGGGAGGCCCCCACTGCGATGGAAAGATCAGGTGGAGAAGGACTTGGCTTCACTTGGCGTTTCCAATGGCGTCAGTTGGCACAGCGGAGAAACGACTGGCGCGCTTTTCTGAACTCGGCGAAAATCGCTTAGGCGGTTACGGCGCCAAAAAAGAAGAAGAAGAAGTGAAGAAGCTAGGCAAAGCCTCGGATGAGACCCCCCCTTATGATGACGACCACGGCAAACGTTTAAAGGACTACGATTTGAGTTCATGCACCGGGAATGACCGGACCCTTAATGGGGAAGGTGCATCTGCCCGGCTGGTTGATGTCCTCGTAAGTACAAAAGCAGACACCACTGCCATCCAAGAAATGCGTTGGACGGGGCAAGGCAAGCAATGTCTGGGGCCTTGCGACGTATACTACAGCTGCCATGTAAAGGAGCGCAAATTCGGAGTTGGATTTGTGGTGGGAGAGAGACTCCGTCGCCGAGTACTGTCGTTCACCCCGGTGGACGAGCGTCTAGCCATAATCCGCATCAAAGTGAGATTCTTCAACATCTCGCTCATCTGCGCCCATGCCCCGATGGAAGAGAAGGATAAGGCATCCAAGGATTCTTCTTTGAGCGCTTGGAGCACACGTACGAGCGCTGCCCCCGTCATGATATCAAAATCTTACTTGGCGACTTCAATGCCAGGGTGGGCAAGGAAGGGATCTTTGGAACCACCGTCGGAAAATTCAGCCTCCACGACGAAACGTCCGACAACGGATTGAGGCTGATCGACTTCGCCGGGGCCCGAAACATGGTAGTATGCAGTACTAGGTTCTAGCATGAAAAGATCCATCAAGCGACGTGGCTGTCTCCGGATCGAAAAACGAGAAACCAAATCGATCATGTTGTGATAGACGGAAGACAGGCTTCCAGTGTTTTAGACGTACGCACACTCCGAGGCCCAAACATCGACTCGGACCACTATCTTGTTGCAGCCAAGGTACAAGCCCAAAGCAAAAAATGTGCGCCCAAATATGCAAGGAAAGCTTAACGTCGAAAAGCTGCAATCACAACAGACAGCCAGCGCTTTCGCTACTCGACTCCCACACCTGCTCTCAGAGCGAAATCTTCAAAAAACCGACATATGCGAGCAGTGGAACCATATGTCCCGCTCATTAAGTACCGCCGCCGAAGAAGTAGTCGGATTTCAGCGAGCCCGAAAGAACAACTGGTACGATGAGGAGTGTCAGGAAGCTGCAGAGAAAAAAGATGCCGCTTACAGGGCCACGCTGCGTTCGGGCGCAACGCGCGCTATGTGGGAGCGCTATAGGTATCTGAAGAGGGAAGCAAGACGTATTTTACGTAATAAGAAGAGAGAGGCCGAAATACGTGAGTGCGAAGAGCTTGAAATGCTGGCCGACAGGAAGAGTGCCGGAAAATTTTACCAGAGAGTTAGGCGACTTGCGGAAGGTTTCATGACCGGGGCGTACTCGTGTAGGAACAATAATGGCGACCTAGTAACTGATGTCCAGAGCGTACTTAAATTATGGAGGGAACACTTTTCCGCCCTACTATATGGTAGCAGTACGGAAAGTTGTGGAGAAAAAGAACCCGAGCCCGCAGTCGATGATGACGGAGCCGACGTTCCACCGCCTGGCTATGTCGAGGTACGTATAGCAATATCGCGGCTGAAAAAAAAACAAAGTTGCTGGAGCGGACAGCCTGCCAGCTGAGCTATTCAAGCACGGCGGCGAGGAGTTGATAAGGTGCATGCATCAACTCTTGTGCAGAATATGGTCAGAAAAATGCATGCCCGACGACTGAAATTTAAGTGTGCTCTGCCCAATCCACAAGAAAGGTGACCCCGCCATTCGCGCCAACTATCGCGGGATCGGCCTTCTAAGCATAGGTTACAAGGTCTTATCGAGCATATTGTGTGAAAGACTGAAGCCCACCGTCAATGAACTGATTGGGCCTTATCAGTGTGGCTTTAGACCTGAAAAATCCACCATAGATCAGGTATTCACAATACGTCAAATCTTGGAAAAGACCGCGAGAAAAGGATCGACACTCACCACCTATTTGTCGACTTTAAAGCCGCTTTTGACATCACTAAAAGGAGTTGCCTATACGCCGCTATGTCTGAATTTGGCATCCCCTCAAAACTCATACGGCTGTGTAAAATGACGTTGAGCAATACCACCAGCTCCGTCAGAATTGGGAAAGACCTCTCCGAGCGGTTCGTCACCATCGGGGTTTCAGACAGTGCGACTCGCTTTCATGTGACTTCTTTAATCTGATGTTGGAGAAGATAATAAGAGCTGCAGAACTGAACCGCTCAGGAACAATTTACTACAAGAGCGTGCAATTGCTGGCTTATGCCGATGACATCGACATCATCGGTAACAAAAACCGCGAAGTCTGTTCTGCCTTTTCCAAGTTGGATAGGGAAGCAAAGCGAATGGGTCTGGTGGTAAACGAGGACAAGACGAAGTATCTCCTGTCATCAAACAAACAGTCATCACATTCGCGCCTTGGCGCCCACGTCACTGTTGACAGTTACAATTTCGAGAAAGTAGAGAATTTCGTTTACTTGGGAACCAGCATTAATACCAATAATAATGTCAGCATTGAAATTTAACGCAGAATCACTCTTGCCAACAAGTGCTACTTTGGACTGAGTAGGCAATTCAGGAGTAAAGTCCTCTCTCGACGTACCCGTGCTGGTATATGGCGCAGAAGCATGCTCTTGGAGTGTTTGAGAGAAAGATTTTGCAGAAGATTTACGGGCCTTTGCGCGTTGGCGACGGCGAGTACCGCAGACGATGGAACGATGAGCTGTATGAGCTTTACAACGACATGTACATAGTGCAGCGAATTAAAATACAGCGGCTCCGCTGGCTTGGCCATGTCGTTCGAATGGACACCGACGCTCCAGCTCTGAAAGTATTCAACTCGGATACCCGCTGGTGGTAGCAGAGGAAGAGGGAGGCCCCCACTGCGATGGAAAGATCAGGTGGAGGACTTGGCTTCACTTGGCGTTTCCAACTGGCGTCAGTTGGCACAGAGGAGAAACGACTGGCGTGCTTTGCTGAACTCGGCCAAAATCGCTTAGGCGGTTACAGCGCCAAAAAAGAAGACGAAGAAGCTCTAAATTACCAATTGGCCTTACCAGGTAAGGTAAACATTCGATCGCGAGAGGTTTGGTTTCTTTAGGTTGTTGTAAATATCCTCGGTCATAATGTTAAATTTGCTTCCCGTGTCAACCAAAGCAACGCACTTTTGATTACCAATATTAATTATTTCGTTCATGAAGCCAATTTTTGCATTAAGACGCCGTACATTACTTTCTGAATTGTCATTTTTATTTGCTGCACAATTTTTTGCTATGTGGCCGAATTCATTGCACATAAAACATTTCATGCCTTTGCTTTTGTTTTTGCAATCACCCGGTTTCTGGCCTTTTCACCGCAATTAAAACAAGTAGTTTCTCTTTTGACACTTTTCTCGGTATTCTCACATTTTTGTCCACTCTCATTTTTCACAACTTCCTTTGTACAAGAATTCGCCGTATACTTGTTCTTTCCGCTAAATATTTCTTAACATTTTAGCTTTTGTTTGAATTCTTTAAGGTTTGTTGCACCATACGAAATAGCTTTGTTTACGTTTAAATCCTTTATTCCATCTATAACATACTACATTACTCGCGACGGAAGTGGAAAAGTACTCGTGAACACTTTCTTCTTTACTCATCTTTCTCACCCCTATGTTGTAATCCGTCGTAGATTCGCTTTTGCTACGAATCGTAAAATTGGTATGCTGAAATCCGCGTTGCCGTATCGTAATTTCGAAATTCGTAGGCCATCTTCGATATTCGTAATGTTTGTATGCCTGGATCCGACGTAGCTGTCATTTTTATGTATTTGTCGGGAATTTTGTACGAATAGAAGCTCGCGTCGGAGCAAAACAAATTGTTTTAAAATATCAATAAAATAAAGTGTGTAAACGCAAAAATATATATGTAAGTTGAAGTGTGAATAAAAAAAAAATTATTATTAACTGTTTACAAAATTATCAGATCGAAGATCACAAAAAATCGCTCGCAATACGAAAAACTGGTGGAATGCATGGGCGAAAGGCCGGATATTGGTCGAGGCTTTGTAAAAGGAGCTAAAGAGGATGTGGTGGAATTTTGGGAAAGCGTTCCAAGAATTAAAGCGGCACAATATGTATCTAGTGAAATGGAGGCCCTTAAAAGGAGGGAGCTTACATTTTATCATTTAAGCTAAATGGATCAAACCAATCTCCTAGCAATCTCCTTTGTATAATGCAACTGCTAGCTGTTCTTCCTCCTGGGACAAAAGTGCACCGGCCACTGAATCCTTTGTATTCTACTTAATTAAGGAAAAGTCTTTTCAAATAATGATTACACTACTTTTTTTTTAATTTCGCTATTCACTTACGATTATATTTATTATGACTTGTTTCTGTCAAAGCAGCTGATTAAAACTTCGAGTTTCGAGTTTTTAGTTGGCAGTGCCGCTGATAGTTACGATCGGATTACAGCGTACCAATTTTCGAATTTTCGGAACTGAGCTATGAATTCGTAACTACGAACATTCGGATTACAGCATAGGGGTGTCTATCTATCAGTAGCTTATGTAGTTGTGCACTATTTGTATTTGTTTTGAATCGCATAGCAAACTTTCTTTTAATTTTCCCCAAGATGTTATTCCCCTCTCAGTAGAAATAAACAACTTTGCAAGTCCCTTCAAAGACTTTTTAGCGAAAACGAATTTTTGAAATTCATCCCAAAACATTAATACCGAAGTTTCTTCCAATTCGTTAACCCAAATTTCAACAGGTAATTTATCTGTGCCGTCCAGAGGCTAAACCGAATCTTCGATGTCGCGACAATTAATAGCAAACCTATGCATCACACTATTTCTTGACGCTACTGTATTGTTTTGCTCGTTACTTTCATTTACACCGTTTTCTTCTCTATTTGCTCGTCTTGTTGAGTTTTCGTGCTCGTGCACTCGTCGTCGATTTTCTTCGTTGGTTAAATTTGAAAAGCTGCTTACTGCGCTTGTGCCGTCGTCGTTCGCAAAAGACGGGAAAAAATCGTTGTTTTCTCCTCTTTGCTTTACCACTTTTGTTGCGTCTTCGTATCTGTTCATCACCTCTACTAAGGGCTGCCAGACGTCCCGGTTTCCCCGGACATGTCACAGTTTTAGACTATTTGTCCCGGTGTCCCGGTCCAACCTTAAAATGTCCCGGGTTTCATTTAAATGTCCCGGTTTTCGATTTGATTGCACAAATTTGAATAAAAGTTCAAAAATAACTACAATTTTATGAATTCACTGAGGGAAATAACGCATAGTTAACATGAATATTTTTATTCGATTATCGTTCTAAAATGTTCGTATTTAAAAACAACACTTTAATACCACGCACGCGTGGTGTTGATTCAAACTCAGCATTTGAATGCACATTTACATGTCTGGCTGTAGATGAGTGCGCAAAGATACTTGCCACAATTTGTTATTTTTCAGAGGGAATGGAATTTAAATATATATTTTTTAACTTAATTATGAAAAAGCTTCCGTTTGAATTTAATATTTCTAGACTGAATAATAAAATGTGTGTGTGAATGTATTACGAGTTGGGTTGGTGCTCTTTCATATGCGTATTTTTTTAAATTTAGCACGTTTTTTTAATTCTATACTTCTTTCTCTCAGTGCACCGGTTTCATTTGTGAAATAGTTACATCTTCAGATAGTTGAACTTTGCACAAGCATATAGTTGATGATTAATATACATATGTACCTAAATAAGTTAAAAATGACGTGCACAGAGTTTTACAATTATATTAAGGAAAAGTCAGAAGTTTTGAAACAAGTCCACAGCAACGAAAATTTGACTGATATTTTAATGTTATCTTGTACTCAAATTTTTTTTCTTTCATGAAACCTAGAGTGCTTATAAGTACAGTGCCGTACATCAAATCACAATTTCTAATCAGACCTGTTAGAAAAATTTTGAAAATATACCTTTTGTACCAATTAATAAAGTGCAAGTCTGAAGTTGCCAGCAAATTTTGATGATTGTTAGCCTTTTTTTTGCTGACAGTGTCTTCCATATAAAAAGAATTGTTGAACATAGTTTGAATGGAAGAAACTCTCAGTAAAAATAATACCAAAAATCAACTAAAATTTAATAGGCTGCAAAACTTCATTTTTAAAATTTTTACAAAAAGTCTAATTAAAAAGTTGCAAATTTGTATGCAAATTTATTGAATATCTTGAGTTTTGCACAAAGTTTAGAAATTTTATTTTTATGTTTTTTGATGTATTTAGTACAATTTTTTTATAAAGACTAAAAAGAATTGTGAAAAATTCTCTGTGCTTTAGTTGTGATAAGTTGCTTTGTTACTACATCTTTTCGTACGTAATTTTTGTTCAAACGAAATGGAAGGGAGCGAGAGGCCCCCCCCCCCCCCCCAATACCCCCTGCCCAGCCTAAAGTGTCCCGGTTTGGTAACAGACATATCTGGCAGCCCTACCTCTACTGGTTTGTTCTGTCTCAAGCTGCGTGCACCGTCTTCTACGTTTGTGCAATCGTCGCTGCTCTCGCTATCGCTGTCGTCGTGATCGTTGTCTTTTGCGTTTGCGGAAAGCAAACGTCCCTTTTGCAAATTTTCCACGATATGAACTTTTAAGTTATTGCTCAAATTTGCATCGATGTACTGCATTATACTTTTATACGAGCCATAGTTTGCCTCGAAATCAAAGCCGGCAAATTCGCGTAAACGTTTGCGATTATTCCTATCGCCTTCTGACACAAACACTAATTTGTGTAATGCCGCCACACTCTGCTTGCTGCTGCGTCGCAAGCTTCCGCGAACATTCTCGATTGAAGCCAAAGACATTTCAATCTAAATTTAACACTTTTCCACAATATACGCGTTACACTTCGTCCTTTTCTTGGACGAGGCCCCAAAATGTAGGTTTATTGTTTGTTTAATTAGTTTTAAGTTCACAGAAACGGACAGGTTTCGTTTTATTTACGATTAAAATAGTTTTGAGTTCACAGAAATGAATTTAAATAATTAGATTGGAATTGAATATTTAGACAAATAATGAATTAAATGAATTGGGCATTTAGGGAAAGAATTAATGCAAACTATTTGATTCCACAAAACACAACCGTCTTGGCTACCGGCTCGTACTCGAGTCGCTGCTAGACTGCCATGATGCTGCGACGCCATGGTTTCGTTAAAAAAGAAATAGAGTTGCCAGGCTTTAACCCCACAGTAATATACAAGACATTGGTGATGACTCAATCCATCCGGCAAAATCTCAAACTACATTTACATCCAAATTATTAAGAAACTTAAGAGAAAAATTAGTGGAAATAACTTACTGTCGGAGGGTGTCATAAATAACACAAACGGCAATAACGCAAAATTTGCTTTATTTCACTTTTAAATGGGAAATAATACCAAAATCTGAGTTTTGCTTTATTTCCAACAAAGGTTGGAAATAAAACAAATTTTGCCTTATTTCCCATTGCTTAATTATACTATTTGTAAAAAAAAAACAGTTTACTAACAGAAGGAAAAAGAACTTTGTTTATTCCAAAAATACAATTAAACTAAGGCACATTGAACAGGTAATATCAGTATAGCAGCTGATTTGGTTTTTTTCAATTATTTGTTCTCGAAAATGTCAAATATTTTACATTTCTTCTCACAAAAATTCTAAATTGTTAAAATCTCTTTGCATGTGAAACATTTTCCATACAAAACCAGCGATTAAATAGCAGCTTTTGGAAAGCTCGCCCAACTCAGCAGCACAACCGCTGATTACTGGGCCTGGCACAGGATGGTGGATCAATGCTTCGAGAAGCGAACCAATTTACTAAGAAAGAAAGTTGCAACAATTTTCATTTTTTCAATTTAAATTTTTTACCTTTTTCGTATTTCGCATGGCACGCTTTGATGTAGAAGAAAAAATCAGAACAGTTTTTAGCACCTTTGATACCAGAAGCAACAACAAAATACAGGCAAATGTTGTTTTTGCTCAAATGCTCTAAACCTGTTTGATAGGCCTTGAATTTAACAAAAAATGTGATATAATTCATATGAGGAAAGTAATATTCACAAAATATTTTTACTTATGAAAAGTCTAACAAAATATAGGAAAAGCATCGTCTTTAAAAACTGTTCCGCATATTGGACATAGTGCTTTCGTATGCATTTTTTCTGCATGCTTTTTAATATGTTCAAAACAATGCTGGAAAACCTTAAAATGTTTGCGTGGAACTATGTCGCAATAAACAGATGAAGTAATAAAACGGCTTTCTCGCTTTATTTTCTGACATTCGGCTGCCTTATAGTCACATTTTATAGGCAAATTTTCAAATAAAGCAGTGGCACCTGGTAAATTCCACTATGGGTGGGATGCATGCAATAACACCATACACAATAATTCCCATTACTTGGACATTAAAAAGCAGTTTCAGAAGTGAACTAGTGTTATTTTATCATATTTCCTTTTTCTAAACGGTTATAATGCCACCAGTACATAATTGCGAAAGGAGAGGAGGGGCGGGGGACGCGAGCGCGACGTCGAACGCGACGCCGGGCACTTTCAAAATTGTATACTTACAAATCCGTCCATTTAACTTGTTCATGTACTACTTTTTGTCAAATGTAACTGGGTGACTACCTACATATGTGCACAATTTTGCTTTATTACTCAAATTGTTAAGTATAAAAGTTGGTCTTATTGCTCAACGAGAAATGAAATAAAGCAAATTTGTGTTATTTCACATTCAATTGGGAAATAACACAAATTTGCGTTATTGTTGCAGGTTGAGAGTCTTCCTGCCTCAGTATATCCAGTAAAAAAACTGTGGTGAAGTCCTTTATGGGGATAAAGTTTCCAGAGGTGAAATTTTAGGTAGCACACAATTTCTTACACGCATGGTTGCTTTTCAGCACTGATGAAAGAAACTTAAGAAATATTTGAAAAAAAAGTTCATATAGTACATTAATTTTGAAAGAAATACATATAATGTATGTACTCTGGTTAATAATATCAAAAAATGTATTAGAATCACCGTTTAATGTTATATTTGATACAAATTAATACTGCTGCCCCGAACGCTCTGCGCCTTGCCACTGAATAATAGATTTACTTAAAATTACATCCCTGATCCTTGTTCTTTCTGTATCGCATCGTGGTGATTTCACATTGCTCAGAAATTTGACAAGAAAACAAAACAAAGCGAGTATTTTATTTGCTAATTTTTGCGATTTCTATTGTTTAATGTAAATTTGTCTTTTTAGGATATGTCGAGCCAACAAAGAAGGCGCAGTTGGAAAATTTAGTAATTAGTAATGAAGTAGCAGGCATATTTGGAAAATTATGCCGATAAACAGGATGGAATTTGGGAAAGTAAGTGCATGGTTGCAGCATATCTATGTATAAAAAGTATTTAATTAAATTGTTTATAGAAATGTTATAAATCGAGTGGCTCATTTACGATGTGCTCCAAACATTTGGCGAACTTTTTTTCGCCTTTTCAACGCGCTAAGTAACAAGTTAAGATGACTGCCATCATGGCCGGTAAGAAACCGCAAGCAAAGGGCAGACAACCTTCCAGGAAGCTGCCTCCTGTCCCCGAGCCGAAGCTGCAGTTCAGCAAGAGCAGGTCAGCAAATTGCTACCCTGATCAAACGTAACCAAAGCGCTCTGCTGTGATTGCACTCCGTAAATGTGAAAACTTGGTGCATGCTGAGAAATATCAAACAAGAAAACTCCGTGATGGACGCCGTGAGATGGAGTAACGCTGTGTGGCAAAGAAATGCGGCCAATTCGACGGGCCTGAAAAATCCAAATTGGCTTTTGTGATCCGCATCAGCGGTATCAACAAAGTTGCACAAAAAGTGCGTAGTTTTACAGTTCTGTCTTCGCCACATTAAAACGGTGTGTTCATCAAATTGAGCAAAGCAACCATTAATATGCTACGTATGCCGAACCCCCTATATGGGGTTATATCCAAATCTTAAATCAGTTTGTGAATTGATGTACAAACGTGGAATGGTCAAGCGTGTCCCAATCTCTGCTTTGTGATCGAACGCAAATTTCGCGAAGCGCACGAAATTCAGTGCGTTGATTCACTTCACTTCAAGAAAGCCCCCAACTTCCTGTTGCTATTCAAGCTCAACACATGAACCCGAGGCTGGCGCAAGAAGGCTAATCACTACGTTGAGGTTGGTGATTTCGGTAGCCGTGAGGATAAGATCAACAAATTGCTGCACAAGATGGCTTAAAGAAATTGTTGTTTTGTATTTAAGTAGGCAATATAATTTGGCACATCTTCAAAAGACGCCCAAGCAAAAAAAAAGGAAAATTAAAAAATTCCTGAAGTTGCCTTAATTAAAACTAAAACATGCAATATATAAAGAAAATTAAAAGTTGTCTTACATCTAGTAAACTTAAAAAATTGCACATTAAATTCATTTTTCATTATAAAATAAAATTAAATATCACAATTCAGTTTACAAAATGTGATCTGTTTGCACCCACAGTAAGTTCCATGAAGCCTAGCCTAAATTCAGAATTGAAAAAAAAACGAGCAAATGGGGTCGGAAACTACTAGTCCTAAAAGCATAATGTGGAAAATGTTTGAAGAGCTGCGAAATTGTATTGCAATAATAAAAATAACAGTGCATAAATTGGAAAAAATGGTTTTTGTTTTGCTTTATAATTTTTGGGAATATTGGTTCAGATGGAATTTTTTTATTTGTTTGGTTTTTCAGCTCGTTAATGAGGCACCCAGGGTTGCATTTACTGTCTATGAAAATATTTCGTGAAGCGTTCCAAAATTAGCTCCGAGCAACTAAAAGTTGGTTAAGCTTAAATGAAATAGTTTTTTATTAAATATTTATTCCTGGTATTTAGTAAAAAACATCAATACTAATGTATGAAAAACAAAACATCAATGCTAATGTATGAAATGAAGTAAATAAAAATCTACGAATACATTCCATGAATATTTTGTCATAGAGCCATTATTAAATTTAGACATAACTTTGTCAGGCGTTGGTACCTACGTATATATAATTAATGCGTTGGAGAGAGATAAATATACAAGTTCAACGCGCTAATTTAGGTATCCTTGTATATATATACCTGTTACTCGTCTGGCATATACTCCAACTGCGAAAATAATGACAATTATAATTTATGTAGATCCCTGGATAAAAGATTGTCACAAGTTACTTTCGGTAACTCACGATTGAAGTTTGGAATGCAATTTCTCAGAAACACGACTACAGATTTTCTCCAAAGTGTCGGAGAATGCTATGTACTAGTTCATGAAATTCTTAAATTATCTTATTTTTTTTAGTTTAGTGTTAACCATTTATGAGTTTAATAAAATTTTGTCGTATACGACATTTGTCATAAAATTTGCAGTCAGTTTTAGTGATATACGCCAAAATGTGATAACAATTTTTATAAATTAACCATACTTTTTACTAATCAGCCTAATCGTGAGTTTCGCCCGAACAAAATTTCGCCAACAATTTTTTCATCCACCTGTAGTGAACACACGCAAACGAAAAGTGACCCGGTTCTAGAAAATGAAACTCATGATAAAGCTGAATATGTCGGAAAGTAAAGAAGAACAGATAACTCTATTTGAAAGATCTTGCTTAGTTTAGTACGACAGAAATACTAACGCAATTTGTACCAAATAACCGAAAAAATTTTAGTCAATTAGTCGGAAACTAAAGAAGATATCCAAAAACCACAAATTGTCAAAATGACGCTTCCGGCAATTTTACATCCAGGCGACGATATTTGAATAGGTTTGTATAGTTACCAATAGTCAGTACTAATTTGTACTGAAACCTGC